ACACACACACACACACACAAAAACACACTTCACTGTAATACTTTAACTATATATATAGCTTGTTATAGTATATGTTAGTGTGTGTATATATATAGCTTGTTAAAGTTTGACCATGTTTGACCTATTAATTTAACTCGTTTACTTAATACTAATAGCTTCTTTCGTTTATTTAATTTGTGATCCATATATATATATATATATATGTCAAAGATGTTTAGTATTAATTCTTTTATTTTTCATTCATTCATCACTAATAATGCATGGCATAGCTAGATTAATAGATATAGGTCGAGACGTTTTGTTTTTACTATTAGTCGATATAGGTCAAACGTTTTATTTTTAATATTCATCGATGCATCTAGATAAGTTATAAGTCGATGAATCAATTTACAAATAGCATGTTATATATAGTATATGTTAGTGTATTCATTATTTGTATTACAAAAGTGTTAACGAATTACATTTATATTATTTAGATAGTAAATATAAAAGTAATTCGAAAGTTTGACCAATGTTGACATAATAACCGACCAACTTTGGTCGGTTATTTTGCAGAAAATAACAATTACCAACCAAAGTTGGTCGGTAAATGCTTCCCCTACATTAACCGACCAACGTTGGTCAGTAATTTTAAATATAAATTTTTAAATATTATAAAGCATTTTAAATAAAATGAAGAAGAGTGGGGCAATTTACCGACCAACGTTGGTCGGTATTTAGTTTTAAAAAATATAAATTTTTTTTTTCCCAGTTTCCGTCCAACCCGGACGGTTTTTGGTCACTTTTTTTGACCGACCAACGTTGGTCGAAAATATTTGGTCGGTTTTTAGCAGATTTTTAGTAGTGATCTCGTCTCTTATTTGTGGCCAATAATATAATTGGGGGTTTCTAGTTCTAGCTTAGCCCGAGGCTAGAAGATAGGTGAATATGCCATGCATGATATATAATTCACTCATACGAAGAACGTGACAATTGGAGTTACGTTATTTAGGTTTGAGGGGCAAGTAACGGGGGTCCTAGAGTACTACTACTGCCTTTCTTGTTATAGTTTTTTTCCTTTCGAAAGAGAAAAAAAAACAACAAAAACTAGCTAGAAATTTGCCAAATGCGATTGATAACATCACCAGACACAGACCGCAGCACATGAACACACCAGAATTATCAATCTGCAAGGCAACTCGACTCCACCAGTTCCTAGCCTTTCTTGTTATTGTTAGATACAATAAATTCCCTTGCATAGTTGAGATTAGGGTGAATTTGCATGCAATATGAAGAAGAGTGGTGGCTAGAAACTGATTAGGTTTTAAGAATAACAACGGAACGGTCCTATAGAGTGTTGCTCTCTAATTATTATTGTTAGATATAAAATATTATCACTAACTCCTAAACGTCAATTTATCAAACTCGTCGAATGCATAATTAAGGTGCCTATAAGTTCTTTCTTTCTTCAACTCTTTTTCTTTAATTAGCAAAAAAGAAAAAAAAAACACACTCCTTATTATATCTGCATTATTTTTACAATGTATCTTATAGAATATAATTGCGTCCACTCTAAACCTTTTGACCAACTTTTGCATGATTTTATCCATCAAAATAGCTTCTTGGACGAACTTGAATCTGTCCCCAACTACAGTCTAGTATTTCTTTTAAAGACTAATCTAGAATTGGAATTAGTGTAGTTTATTTTAAATATTTTTTTGTGTATATCGAGCCAGAGGCAATAAGTTGCAGAACCATCCTTCATCCAGTGACGAATGTACCATCATAGGTACATACTTTTGATTGAAATCATAACTTTCGACGTGGAATATAATTTATATGTTAAAGATTCAATAAAATTACAATAAATATTAGAGATGAACGCATAACTTTAAAAATATAATGAGTTTAATGGATAAAACCTTAAAAGTTGTACTCATAGAGCTTAAATTTTGGATTTGTCTCTACCTGCGTCGCTCACTTTACTAGAACATATGCAGATGTAATCAACAAGTACAAATAATAGATCTTGAACTCAGTAAATCGAATGAATTGTGATAAAATACTGAAACTGAATTCATTATATTTAAATTTTGGATCCGCCTCCGCTAACCTAATTTCCCACCTCAACACGCATGCCATCAACTTTATATCCCACAAACATGTCAAGTTTTATTCCTCTTCTATGATTGGCTTATCACCTATATAAATATATGTAAGTGCTAACTCGAGGGTGCTTAATCCTTACGTTTGAAGCACCTGCATAAAACAATTATACTATATGGCAAAAACTTTTCAACAAAAACCAAATGACCAAAAAGAAAACTTGTCTACTTGTTTCAACCAAAAGAATATAAAGAGAGTAAAAGGAGTAGTACTAGCCAAAACTATCCAAAACATATTCTCAAAACCTCATTTCCCAAAAGGGAATTCAATTTACTCTGAATATGAAGAAAAAGGCAATAATATTCAAGAAAATGAAGCTAATGCTTTGTTTTCAGTCATTGGAATGACTTGTTCTGCATGTGCTGCTTCTGTGGAGAATGCCATAAAAAAACTTCCTGGAATTAAACTGGTTGTAATTGATGTTTTGAATAACAAAGCTCAAGTTATTTTCAACGCCAGTCTTGTCTATGTAAGTTTTGCAACATCTCTCTCATAGTGGATTTTTTTCTTTTTATTTCCCATCTAAATTAGTCTGACCCCAAAGTGAGTACTTGACAATGGGTGGAAAAACCAAAAAAATTAGTACTCCCTCCAATTCACTTCAATTAATTTTTTGACCTTGTTTTCGCACATATTAATGAATCCACATTTTAACATTAATAAACAATGAAATTGACCATATTAACCTTAATTTATTCGTTGTAATTACAACAAATATTCCTAGGCTCTTTACTCTAAGGTCAACTTTTTCCTTCTTGATATCTGAAAAAATCAAATATTATAGACCACATATAAAAGTCAAAAAATCAATTAAAGTAGACCGGAGGACCGGAGGGAGTAACATATATCTCGTATTTCCTTCCTTATTCAAATGCAATTCTTCAATGTTATAGTAATAGTTACACCAATTTATGATTGTTCATTCCTCCTCCGACCCCTTAAAACAAAAACAAAAAATGAAAGGAAACAGCAAAAATGGAATATCCTGTGAATGAATAAGAAAAGGAGGAGTTAGAACAAAATCACAAAGTTTTACCAACAAAAAAAGTGTAACTAAGTTTAACCAACATGTCAAAATTTAAAAATTCACGAAGCAAAGACACACCAACTTCAACAAAATTAAGTTGTAGTTTTAACTTTCTAATCATAATCTATATTAAACCATGTAAATTAAAGAAATAATAGAGAAAATAATACGAGTATTCTAGACACCATTACAAAGAAACCCCAAACACCAAATGCTAAAGCCCCAATGTTCACGCAAAAGTTGAAATTATGAAAAGATATACTATCATATATTTAACAAATTGATATAAGTAAATATTTTTAAATAAAATAATTAACAAGACTCGTGTGTGTGTGTGTGTGTGTATAAAGTGTTTGTAAACTTGAGATATGATTGGAAGTTGCTGACTGTAAAGCATTAACCGAATCCATGCGCTCTAGTGGAGAAATATTTGTATCTTCTTTTTCTAAAGAATTTTTTCCTTTTTTCCTTTCTAGTGTTTTGTGCCAGCCTCTCAGATTCCTCATACACAGTTAAGAAATTTTAAGGTGCATATAGAAAACATAAAAACTTTTTCTTTTCCAGAAGTGGATACGGGTGTTGATCATTATCAAAGATTATCCACAAATCCCACTTTAATTAGACAAAGACTAATGGTAAAATATATGAAAATCTGTACATCTTATTCTAAATTCCCCTTCTATTTAACAACTTTAATAAGTTGAAAGTTGCTAACTTTAATAATTAAGCTGCAATAAGGTACATCAAAATTCAAAACATAGTATCATAGATATAACACTATCCTGATTGTTCAATATGTTTGGTTGGTGTTAGGTTTCTCAAAAGGGGTTTCTTCTGCTAGGCACTTTGCCTTTACAACTATAGAACTGTAAAAGCCTAGTCCTATTGTTCGCTTTAGGCTTAGGCCCGCACGGCTTTAAAATGGGGTCTAAGTCATGTTTACGTATATTCCCAACATTTCTCTATGTTGTCCATGTGGGATTCACGTAGGGTGTCCCAATAATCTTGTGAGGATAAGAAAATCTCCAAGAATTATTCTTACATAGTTGAAATGTTTCATGTTAAAATATGACTAGGAGGAGATGATCCGCGACACCATAGAGGACGTCGGATTTCAGGCTAAATTGTTAAAAGAAGAGATGAATCAGAAGTCCTCTCAAGTATGCAGGATTCAAGTAAATGGAATGACTTGCACTTCTTGTTCCACAACTCTTGAATCAGCATTGCAGGTAATCCCTGGTGTACATAAAGCACAAGTCGCATTAGCAACTCAAGAAGCTGAAATCTGTTATGATCCAAAAATAGTAGATTACAATCAGCTGTTAGAAGCTATTGGAAATACAGGATTTGAAGGCAAATTGATTAGTACAGGAGACGATAAGAGTCGTATACTGCTAAAAGTTGATGGAGCTAACACTGAGAATTGTGTTAAACTGATAAAGAATTCTCTTCTTGAACTTCAAGGAATTCAAGAGATAGACTTTGACCTGCAGCTCAAAAAATTATCAGCCACTTATAGAGCAGATGTAACAGGACCGAGAGACTTTATTCGTGCAATCGAATCAACTGGATCAGGATGTTTCAAAGCATCTATATTTCCTGAGGGAAGAGAAAGAGACGAACATAGACATCAAGAAATCAGGCAATACCATAGAGCTTTTCTTTGGTGTTTAGTATTTACAGTTCCCGTCTTTTTTACTTCAATGGTTTTTATGTATATTCCTGGTTTGAAAAATGTATTGGAAACTAAGGTTGTCAACATGCTAAACATTGGAGAGGTTCTGAGATGGGCATTATCTACACCAGTACAGTTCATCATTGGTCGAAAATTCTATATTGGTGCCTATATTGCCTTAAGCCATGGTTATGCAAATATGGATGTTCTTATTGCATTAGGAACAAATGCAGCTTACTTTTATTCAGTCTATTCAGTACTAAGAGCTGCTACTTCTCCAACTTTCAAAGCTAGTGACTTTTTTGAGACTAGCTCAATGCTTATCTCGTTCATTCTACTTGGGAAATATCTGGAAGTTTTGGCTAGAGGAAAGACATCTGAGGCCATTGCCAAGCTCATGGATTTGGCCCCAAAGACTGCAACACTGTTAACAATAGATGACAAAGGCAATGTGGTAAATGAGGAAGAAGTTGATAGCAGATTGATACAAAAGAATGATGTGATTAAAACCATTCCAGGTTCAAAAGTGGCTTGTGATGGTCTTGTCATCTGGGGACAAAGCCATACAAATGAAAGCATGATAACAGGAGAATCTCGTCCGGTCACAAAAAGGACGGGTGACATGGTGATAGGAGGGACTTTGAATGAGAATGGGGTGTTACACATCAAGGCAACAAGGGTTGGGTCAGAGACTGCTCTATCGCAGATTGTTCGGTTGGTTGAATCAGCACAAATGGCTAAAGCTCCTGTACAGAGATTTGCTGACCACATTTCCAAGTACTTTGTGCCTCTTGTGAGATTAAGCACCCCTTACATGTCATTGTTGTCTACGTATATATATATAACTAACCAATTATATCTAGGTTTGGCTGAAAACTAGTGATTGATTCCAATTTCTCAGGTCATTGCTCTCTCATTTTGTACTTGGGTTTCTTGGTTTTTAGCTGGAATGTTTAAAGCTTATCCAAGAACTTGGATTCCTTCTTCCATGGATAGCTTTGAGCTTGCCCTGCAGTTTGGCATATCGGTCATGGTGGTAGCCTGCCCCTGCGCACTCGGCCTAGCTACTCCCACTGCCGTTATGGTCGGTACTGGAGTTGGCGCTTCCCTTGGTGTCCTCATTAAAGGTGGTCAAGCATTGGAGAGTGCACGAGAGGTCTGAGTTCAAACTCTTTCTTCTTAATAACAATCCTAATTTTGTTAATGAACTTTGTTGTAAAGTNGCAGTTCGGCATTTCTGTAATGGTGGTAGCCTGCCCCTGTGCACTCGGACTAGCTACTCCCACTGCCGTTATGGTCGGTACAGGAGTTGGCGCTTCCCTTGGTGTCCTTATTAAAGGTGGACAAGCATTGCAAAGTGCACAAGAGGTCTGAGTTCAAACTCTTTCTTCTTAATAACAATCCTAATTTTGTCAATGAACTTTGTTGTAAACTGTTTCATTCTACAGGTGAACTGTATAGTTTTTGACAAGACGGGCACTCTTACTATTGGTAAGCCTATGGTTGTCAATACTAGGCTTTTCAAAACTATGGTACCTCAAGAATTCTATGAACTTATTGCTGCTGCTGAGGTAGGATATTGTGTTGTTTATGATTCTTCATTGGGAAGGTCAATTCATACCCTTAATAAAACTTTGCCTCTTTATAGTAAAACTAACATAAATGACTACTAGTAGCTATCTTTTGGAATTTGAAAGGTTTCAATGCCAAGAAAAGTTGTTAGCCCTTAGTTACCAAAATGCCAACAATTTAAGTGTCTTCTACTGCATTTTAACTTGACAGGTAAATAGTGATCACCCCTTAGCCAAGGCAATTGTTGAGTACGCGAAAAAAATGAGAGGAAGTGAGGAGAAACTTATCTGGCCTGAAGCCTTGAACTTTGAGTCCATAACTGGTCAAGGTGTGAAGGCTATCATCTGCAACAAAGAAGTGATTGTGGGGAACAAAAGCTTGATGCTAGAGGAGGAGATTGCCATTCCAGTTGAAGCTGAAGAAGCATTAGCAGAAACAGAAGGACTGGCTCAAACCGGCATCCTAGTATCTATCCATAAAGAGCTGATAGGTGTTCTTGCCATTTCCGATCCATTGAAGCCAGAGGCTCCAGAAGTCATCTCCATTCTAAAATCCATGAACATTGAGAGTATGATAGTAACAGGCGACAACTGGGGAACAGCAAATGCCATAGCCAAGCAAGTTGGAATTGACTCAAAATATGTTGTAGCAGAAGCCAAACCTAAGCAGAAAGCTGAAAAAGTGAAGGAACTACAGGTAGAAGCTAATGTTCAGTTACTCTCAGCTTTTCATCATTCAAACATCTATCTTCTTCACATGCTTCAACTGTTCCATTTAAGGGGTTAATCTCACATGTAGTCATTGAACTTTATCCTCTATAACAGCAGAGTAATGAAACTATTTGTCACTTTAAAGTAACTTGATTTTACCCACTGTAATAGTAGAGTCACAAAACTGTTTTTGTCACATTAAAGTAACTGAACTTACCCGATACGACAATAAAGTCACTCAACTTTACCCACTATAATGACAAAACCTACCAATCAAGGTGAATTCGCTGTTATAGGGGGTAAAGTTTGTGAATTTACTGTGACAGTGGGTAAGTTCAGTGACTTTAATATGACAAAAAGTAGTTTGTAATTTTTCAGTGACCATACGTGAAACAAACTCCTAATGTTTAGTTACTGAACCTTTCATTCAAGCTATATCTTCTTTGCATGATTCAACTGTTCCATTTTAGTCGACCAGGAATTAGGCAAAGTTGTGGCAATGGTGGGAGATGGAGTTAATGACTCACCGGCACTTGTGGCTGCTGATGTAGGAATGGCAATTGGTGTAGGCACAGATATAGCAATTGAAGCAGCTGACATTGTTCTTATGAAGAGCAGCTTGAGTGATGTGATAACTGCAATTGATCTTTCCAAGAAAACCTTTAAGAGAATCCACCTCAACTACTTTTGGGCTTTGGGATATAACCTCCTTAGCATCCCAATTGCTGCTGGGGTTCTGTTCCCATTTACTGGTTTTCGCTTACCACCATGGGTTGCTGGGGCTGCAATGGCTGCTTCTTCAGTGAGTGTTGTTTGTAGCTCTCTTTTGCTGAAGAAGTACAGGAAACCTAAGAAGCTGAACACACTTGATTTACACAGAATCATTGTTGAGTAATTCTTGGCTGCTAACTTAGTAGCAAGCTAAACTCTGTAGATTTTTGGCCAATGGGAGAAAAAAGATACATCCAGTGGATTATTTTCTGTTAAGTCATGTTCTTTATATATTATGTTCAACAAGAAAAAACTGGAAAAGCAAATAAAGGACACTTGAAACAACTGGTTGGGCTCTTTTTAGAACCCCTTATATCACTATAAGAAGTCATAATCTTGAATGCAATTCCATACTCATATATCTGATACAGTAAAGTAATATAACAGATTTTATTGACAAGAGTCGGATCTCTCAACACTATTTCCTGGACCCAAAATTCTGTTACGATCCTTTTCCATAGGCAACAGTGAAAATGCACCAGAGGCGATAGAAATAGAATTCAGTATTCATATATTTGATACAGTGAAGAAACAGATGTATAGCCAAGATTAAGGGACTCTCAGCTTGTGTGATTACATATTTTGTGGACTAGGATTATCACATTGTACACTTATTTTACAAGTACATATACATAAAGATAATGAATCAGAAAAGCTTGGATCAGAAATCTCCTTCCTGTATCAGCTTTCACATACACGCTGTTCAGCAAATATTTATCCCGTTATCCGCCATGGTGCACAGTGATTCTGCGAACACAATGCAGCACCTGGCTCCTAATTGCTATCTCACATCTTCGAATGCAAGTCAAGTTTTCTGCTCGATTGAGGAATGCTACTTCCTACAGCATCTCTTTGCTTTTGGAGCTTCTCTTTAGCTTTGAAGAGGATTAAATGTACCTCTTGGAAATGAGGTTCCATGGCATTCTTTGTGTCATCAATCCACTTCAAAACTCTGTTGTATGGGCCTATTATCCGCTCACGGTCCTTCGAATCAAGAACCTAAACTCACAGGAAAAAGAAGATTCTACAAGACGTGAGAACAAGTACTTTCTCCAAGTCCACTCAAGTGGATATACTTCCATCCTAAGAACCACAACCGAGAGAAAATCATCATTTCGTCATCAGCTATACTAGTAAAGACCATACCAAAGCATCTATAACTAAGGCACTTCATTATATAAAAAGATTTAGTCTTTTCAAACAAAAATAACTGGCTCACTGAAACTACTCATAGCAGAAGTGGAGAGAACAAGTAGAGAACTGACGGGAGGAAACAATTGGTGGCCATGAATTACCCTTTAACCCAACCTAGAGAAGAGAACAGAATTATTATTACCTCTTTGTCTTGTAGAATAGGGACTTAAAAGGGCAACACTTATACCACCATGTGCAGTGAATTTATGGAAGTTTATATAAGCTGACAGAGGGGAAAGCAACCGTTAACACGGTTCTGAATGTCAATAACTACATTTTGAGACAAAACAATTAAGTCATGGTTTTGCATGTATGCATCATTTCCCTTTAAGGGGAAGTTCAGATATGATACAACAATAACAACAACAACAACAAACCCAGTGGAGTCCCACAAGTGGGGTCTGGGGAGGGTATTGTGTACGCAGACCTTACCCCTACCCATAGGAGGTAGAGAGGCTGTTTCCCGTAGACCCTCGGCTCAAGAAGTTCCGACATGATAGTTTACTGAAAATATCTACTTATAGAGTGCTCAAATAACGTTCTAAGCAACAGATTCCTCTTGATAATTTATGCTTTGGATCAACAGAAGTAAAGCAACAGCAGGAAAAGGGAAAATCTCTATACCTCAAGTTGCATAATCTCACACACTAAGCTAAGATCTGCAATTGAAGGTTGGCCACTCCCAAGCAAAAACCGTCCTTTTTTCTGGAGCCAAACAGACTCGATCTTCGCAAGAGATGCCAAAAGGACTTTCTCAGCTTCTGCTGCTGCTTGTTGATTCAAAGGCAACCCAAATGCAGGAGCAAAAACAGTACTAAAGACATATACAGCTGAAAACATAACCGCTGCTTCAGAAAACTATTGGAAACAGCTAAAAGAGTGGCATATCAACAAGTAGTAATCACAGAACATTGGGGAAAAGACTATTTTATCATAGTGTTTTTAGTCACCGCCATTCTTGAATAAAAACTTTACCATCATTAAGTGGCTAGATTCACAATTAGAGGTTTGAGAAAGGTCAATTGTTTCAATCACAAGAAACAACTATTAAGATAGTCTAAGAAACTTGCAGGCTTGCAACAACTGTCTTACATTAGGTTAGTAGCAAGAATCTTAGTAAAGAGCATTATAAAAAGCCAGTTGCTCTTCTTTCAAAATGATCATACAGACAAAATTCCCCGATTAATTTCATTTTGGCTCGAAAAAACCAGCCTCCCCGTTAAATTAGCTCATGTAAGGCTAAGGCAAAGTAATAATTTTCCAACTGGAAACTAAGTAGGCGTTTGGACATAAGAATTGTAAAATTCGAAAAAATGGTGAAAAAATTTTTCAACTGAAAATGGTATTTGAAATTAAAAGTTGTGTTTGGACATAAATTTCAGTTTGGGTTGTTTTTGAAGTTTTGTGAGTGATTAGAGTGAAAATTTTGAAAAACAGCTTTTTGTAGTTTTTCAAATTTTCGAAAATTTCCAAAATGCATCTTCAAGTGAAAATTGAAAATTTTATGAACAAACGCTGATTTCGAAAAAAAACTGAAATTTTTTTGGAAAAATCTTCCATCAAATTTTATGTCCAAACGGGCCCTAAAATAAACTCAATCTCTGATATAAGAACCTGCACCACGACGCAAGTTAGAGTGATGCCAATCCAACACAGAGTCGACCTTTGCTCTTTTGTATAAGTCAGCTGGGTACCTTCAATAGGATGGAGTAAGACACGAGTTAATAGCAGCTAAACCGAGCATTTTTTTATATGGAACTTAGATATATATGAGAAAATCACTAAATTTTTAATAACTATTGAATTATGAATCCATAACTTTAAAAGTGCAATGGGTCCAGCGATGAGAACATAAAAATTGAAACTACCAAGTTTAAACCGTGGACCTGCTCGGGTCATGTTCCATGTCAAGAAGAAGAGCTTTAAAGGGTACTCATTTCCATGATAAGAAACATTTGATTCAGGTTTAGTGGAAAACCTGAAGTTGCTGCACTTACCAATGATCTGCAACTCCTGGAAATGCACAAGCCAGATATCTAAGAATTGCATGACTGCACGCAGACAAAATTAGTTAGCTAGCTTTTGAACGTATCCAATATAAAAGATTATTTAACACAGTCCTGTCTCCACAGTAGTTACTTGTGCCCACATTGTACTAGCACAATACATATCAATCTTTACGAAAACGCTCTAAACGTAACAGAATTTTTCCTTCTTGTAGTTTATATGCACAGGTGAACATCAAAATATGAGCTTTTATGTGAATAAATCACTAAATATTAAGCTTTAGGATGCATGCAACACATACAATGAAAAGTAATCATTGACAAAGTTGTAATATTGGAAAATGCTAAAAATTTCAGCTCAAGGTGAAAATTACCTTTCAAAAAGCTTAAATCTTCCATCCATTATAGCTGGTACTTGCTTCATGGGGTTAACTTCTGAAGATGAATTAAACTATTGAAATTATCTTGAAATTAAGTAATAAATAATAATTCAGAAACATTTTTTTAGGAAAAAGTAGAGTTAATAAAATGACAAACCTTTAAATTCAGGAGACAAGTGCTGGCGTTTGGAGAGGTTTATGTAGATCTCCTCAAAGTCTATCCCATTTAACCTTTTGGAAAAACTAATCTTTAGAAACTCTATTTTCAGCTTCATAACTAGAAACAAGAATCAAGGGTATACCCAAAAGATAATAACAAGAAAAATTAAAATTAATCATTAACAACCACATTATAAGCTCTGAAGCTAGAAACAGAATTATGGAAATTCAAAGAAAATAAGAAAACTTTCTCACCGCTTAACTCTCTGGTAATCATTAAAAACTCCATTTTGAGCTTTGCAATTAGAAACATAATTAAGAGTATTCAAGGAAAATTAATAATAAAAACCTCCCTTTTGAGTTTAAAAAATACTTACCGAATTAAGGGTGTTCAAAAAAATCTATACCTGTATTTATCTTTTTGGAGAATTACTCATTAAAACTCCATTTTGAGTTTTGAAATTAGAAACAGAATAATGATTATTCAAAAAAAATAAAAAAAAATAAAAACTTTCTGTCCCTTTTAACCAATTAAAAAAATCTCATTATGAGCTTCAAAACTACATATAAACTTAAGTGTGTTCAGAGAATAAAATACTATCCCATCTAACCTGTTGGAAAATTAATCATTAAAACTACATTTTGAGCTTTAAAACTAAATAAAAATGAAGGGTATTCAAGGAAAACAAGAAAAAATTGAATCTTGATTTCAAGGAGAGAAATTATTAAAGAAAAAATGCTTACTTGCAGAAGATGAGAAGTGCACGAGAAGGTTGGGACATACGATCTACGTATAATTTCAGCGTCATCTTTTCTCCAAATCTATCCTTTTGCTAAATTTGCTAAATTTATAGTGTTGAAAATTGAATTAGCGCCACTCCTAAATTTGCTGCGGTTGGCGTTGGTAGCTAAGGTGGGATCCACCTTGACGGGTCAGATAAGGCTGAGGCCCAATATTAGTTGGGGGTTGCTAAGCCCCCACACGCCCGTTTGGGAATTAGCCCAATTAGCCGTCCACCCAATCGCTTAAACTAAAAATAGTCGACGAATATACAATATATATATATATATATATAAGTTATATATTATATGTGTATAATTATGTATAATCAATTTATAATTTATATATATGATTAGAAAAAATAAACTGTAAATATGACCGACTATTTATGTAAAGATCTCTACCTTTTCCACAAGCATAAAAACAGTGAAGTTGAAGTGATGTGTAAATGAAAATAATTTAATTATTTAGGTTTGATGATTAATATATGATATATGAAGATATTATCTATTGTATCAAAATAGGATAAGTGAAATGCAAAAATACTACCAGAATGTTATGTAATTAATACCTATCGAAGTAAAAGACATGTTATAAAGTGCCGTTGTAAGACCAGTAATGTTATTTAAGCCTCTAAGTTCAACATATCCATAAAATAAGTTTCGTAAAGATACGAATGTTAAGATAGATATATTGTGATATAAAAGTAGATGAAACTAAAAATGATCACATTCAATAAATGCAAATAGCACACATAGACAAAACAAGAAAAGGTCATTTGAGATTGTCTAGTCTGTTCAATGTCAAGCTTCAGATATATGTGAAATCATGGTGAGCGAAGATATTAAAAGTGTAAGAGATAGACCTAAAATTTTACAGAAATTGTCATGAGAGCCTTACACTTTATTGGAATCCAAGCAGACCTAGCAAAAAATAGGCATAGTGAAAAAAATATATCCAATTGATACTAATTAATTGGGATTAAGTTTGATTATGTTAGTATCCAATCTAATATTTTCTAGGACTTTTCCAGTTTAATTAGAGATCTATAAGACACTAGAGAATTTTTTTTTTTTTTTTAAAAAACTTCTAGCATTTTTCAATATATGATATTAAATTGAGAGAAGCTTAAATGGAGTGACTTCACTAATGAAAAAGAAGTGCAAGATAGTTTTGTAATCTTGTATGACAAGGCATAAAATTCAAAGGCAAATAGGCGCAGAAATAGTTTGCCTTGCAAGTGACATTCTTGGATAAAATTCAAAGCTCATACATTTGAAACAGTGAAAACATAACAGATTTCTTGCCATCTGCCAAGATTAAGGGACTCTCAGCTGTACACTGTTTTATATTAGTACAAATACATAAATAAAATGACAAAGGGAAGCTTGGATCAGAATTCTCCTTCCTGCTTCAGCTCACACACACACACACACACACCCCCCTATCCAGGAAACATTTTTATCCCCTATGGTGCACGGCGATGCAACGAGCACAATGCAGTGCCTGGGTTCCTAATTTATTTGTCATATCTTCGAATGCAAGTCAAGTTTTTTGCTCGATTGAGTAAATCTACTTCCTACAACATATCTTTGCTTTTGTAACTTCTCTTTAACTTTGAAGAGGTATGAATGTACTTCTTCAAAATGACAAAATGAGGTGCTATGGCATTCTTTGTGTCATCAAAATTCTCTTGTGCGGGCCTAATATCCGCTCATGATCCTTCTCATCCAGCACCTAAACTCAGCAGAAAAAAGGTTTCCCACAAGACCTCAGAATCAAGTGCATTCATCAGTGGATAGACTTCTATCCTATATAAGATAGAAACACAACCGAGAGAAATCATCATTTCACTATCAGAAATACTAGTAATGACTATAGGGAAGCATCTATAAGGCATTTTATTATATCGAAAGATTTAGCCTTTTCAAATAAAAATGATTCGCTGACTGAAACTACACCCCCTTTTCCCTAGGGACAAATGACATGCATCGAGAAGCCATTGGGAGAGGTGGGGGAATCGATTAAGAGAATTAATTAGGTGTTGTAAGCCTAAGATTTTCTAGTATGTTTGTACGTTTGGACAGTGCAAGAAAATATGATTGATTGTTTCGCTCGCTTGGTGACAAAATAAACAAGCTGCTTCCGATAGTACACCTATGTGGTGAAGTGAAGATGTTGACGAATATGTAGGAAGTTATGCGTGAGTAACTATAGAAATGATTTAATTTTTGGGGGTAACTGGCAGTCGCCAAAGCCATGCATGTATAAGGGGTTTGATGTTCCGTATTAGCTATGGATTTATGGAGTAGAGCAACATACAATTGATTGGGCTGAGAATAAACCATTGTTTGTGAGAGCCCAGAATACACCATCAAATTTGGTGGTGTAGAGAGGGAAGTGGTGATTTTGTAGGAGAGCTTTGAAGCGGGGAGGAAAGTCAAAAGGGAATTTGTCTCAGTCCCAATACTATCATGAACGAATATAATACGGTATTCAACTAAGCAAGACTGTTAGGTATATTTCTATTCTAATTGCGAAATCTTTCCTCGTGCCACGGGTTCAGAAACAACCTCTCTCTAATTCCACTCTAATCTAAACACAGCTTTCCCAAGCCTAGATAGTAAATAGAACTCAACTACTGGCCAAACAATTAAGCAATTATACCCAGAATTAGAGAAACAACCAAAGATGATAACTCGAATTAACAATAATATAATTAATAAACTTCAATATTTATGACAACCACAATCCAAGAACGCGAAGTTTAGCTCCACATAGACATGGTAGCAAAACAACAATTCATCCAAAGAAACGTAAAGATTATTAAGTTTGATGGAAGAAAGATGAAATCTGATGAATTCCGGCCTTCACGGAGGCTCCGTGCTCTCCCCTTGGTCCAAATTTTTTTTTTTTTATAAAAATTATGTTTAAAGACTATTTATAGGTGTAGGGAGAAGCTTAGAGAAAATAATCAAGTCCAAAACGAAAAAAAAAAAGGAAAAGAAATAATCTCGTACCAGAACACGGCGCGTTAGGCTGCGCCTCGCGAGGCTTGTCGCGAACTAACACTCGCATCGCTTGGCATATGGCGGCTGAATTTGACGCCTCACTTGTTTCCAATTGATTTGCTGTGCCTAACTTTCCAATTCTCGTTTCTGTTTTCTTTTTAAATCCTTTGCAATTGTTTCTTTTTGTCTTCGATCATTGTCTAATTATGTCATTATAATATTTTCAATCAATAAATAATCATGAACCATTATAATACACATAAACTTTTTACGTTACTCTCAATTTCATCTTCAAAGTATCTACACATAAAATAAATTCAATTAAGCATAAATATAGTACAATTTAGCATTAAAACATCAAAATATAAGGTAAGCAATGCACTAAAAATATGGAATTATAGTCATGCATCAATGTCACACTTGTAAAAAAATAATTCCCCGTGGGATATGCCCCACGACCTTCCGCACCAGGTAGCAAAGTCTGCACCTCTATACCACCAACCGAACTAATTCTGTAAAGCAATCAAGAATCCGCAAATCCATACGCAATGCCTCTTACACAGGATACCGTTCTCAGACGACACTAAGATAATGTTAGTTTACTCTAAACATCTGAAATCTTCTCCCGCTCCTCCGAGCTCGTGACATTCTTGTCAACACCGAACCGCGACCTTGATCCCCCACTTCCAATTCGCTCACTGCACCTATCGTACCGCTACGCGAGAGTACAAGAATTCATCATAACCCTGAACTACTAGTAGAATAAGTACTCTATTGGCTAGAAACCTTTCACTTAACTCGTTTTAGAAGAACCATTGCAACACGCAACGAAATTCCCATAATCGCAGAAAATACAAACCTCAAGTCGTGGTCTAAACCTCCATAACTCTTCCGGGATCCATTTACACATAACAAGGCCATTAGAATCAAATACCTCCCAAATCAATCAAATACCTCTCACCTGTATAACTTAACATGCCAAAGGAACTGATCATTGCCACAATCATGCTGATTCAAACCATTACCAACCGACACAACTTCCTCCAATTTACTCTTAACTTGCCTTTGAAATAATAATAGCTCCATTCAAAAACATAACGAAACTCAACCAACACTCATCCCGAGTGACCCAAATTATGAGATCGTATCGTCTCAATAGCCATGAACCATCTCATACCCTCCTCATGCACTCAATAGTATTTCCAATTGATACACATGTTCTGAAACACCTCTTGCGAATCCGAAGTTGTTTCTCCCATTTCTCCAATACTGCACCGCAGACTCGATTATAACATAGAAACACTCCAAGTCCTTTTTCATAACCCACTACAAAAACTCTATCCTTAACCACACAACGAACCCAAAATTCTTAGACACTGCACTTTAGTTCTTGAACCCACTAGAACCATTATTGAGAGTCACCCACTCTGACCTGCAGGTCCCGAATATAGCCAAACTCCAATGCTCTGTTAGCAGATGAACACTCTCTCAAAGAAGCAACTGGATGAATTCTTTTTTGTGTGCATCACTTCCACAAGAAGCATAAACTCTAAGTCATCCCAAAACCTGCACATGAATCGATAAGGCGAAATGTGGCATGCATTCCTCAAGTCCTTTGCTCGAATTACCTCTAATGTTTTCTTTTCTTAGTCATAAATAATCCACCAAGGCACCGATAACTAGAAATCGCACAGGCACACAACCACGCGATCCAATCATAGACGGTGGGCTCCCCCCACTTAGCTTTAAGCTACAAGCACATAAATCTAGAATCCACAAAGATTCCTCTTTCTCAATTATCATGATATCGCAACGTTAACCCGCCAAATTTCTCGTAATATATTGTTAAACTTTTCATGAGCATTCCGAATTATCAGCCACAATTGCATATTCAACCTCCTACTGGGTAATAAGTAGAACTCTTCGTAGAAACTTCATCAAAATCATGCAACCATTAAACTTCTCGTAGGAGATAGCCCACCTACGGAATTTCATACCGACATCTTCCAATGACTTTGCATTGGGTACAACTACCACGAAATCAGTAAACCCTCCCGAGCACATGCTCGTCCACCAGCT